CAAAGGGATTAAAAGGATACAAAAAATGCATAAAAAATTAAAAATAAGTATAAATAAAAATTAAACGCAAGTAGCTATAGTAAAAACTTAAAAACGTTACGTTTAAAACTATTGACATTCTTTGAGTCTTTGATCGTCTGACTGAGGGAGTTAAAATCAGAAATGGCATGATATTGTGTTCTTTGCTTCCCCTAATTTCTTTTGACACGTGGTAATCTAAAATTGCCTTTGTTACGTGTATTATGCAAACCGCCTCCCGGTTAGCTCAATGGATAGAGCGCTGGACTGTTGTGCGGGAGGTCGAGGGTTCGAGCCCCGGCCGGACCAACACTCAGGGTCTTAAAATAATTGAGAAGAATTTGCTACCTTTCTATAACATCAAGAAATGGTTAGATATTCTAGTCTTCTCGGATAGGGACGAATAAATGGAGGTCCCGTCTCCTGCAGGGTTGGGGTAGGAGACGTTAATTTCCCACACACGAGATTACTGTGTGATGGATGTCCTCCCCTGGGGTGGGATGGGTGGGATATAGGGCGCACTTAATTTGGAGCCTCGCTCTGTTGTGCGACCCTCACCACACTCTGGTGAAAGTGATTAAATAAATAAATTAACTTGTGTGAGGCAGCTAATGAGTTACTGACTCTTCTGACATAACCACTGGTGGTGAAGTGTTTCCTTGCATCATGATACCTTACGTTTTGTATCAACCTCGAGTATGTTGAACTTAATTTGAAGGTTCCTGAAGACGCTGAGGAGCCAGAGGCAGAAGAATCCAAAGAAGAGGAAGAAGCAGCTGAAGAAGTTCCATCAGAGGAGGAAACATGGGAGGACAAAGAAGGTATATGACAAGCCCCGGTTTTCCTCTTTCCATTGTGAGATTCTTCCCAAAGCCAGTAGTGTTTGCTCTACATATATATATATATATATCTTACTAGACATTTTGTCTTGTTGTATCGCTGATTATTTTATGACTTGTGCTGTATTTTGACAAGCCTGTTATCCAAGTTGCCAAATTGATATTTCAGTGTGGGCAAATTTGGAGGATATTTTGCAGATATTTCTATCGTGATGTTTGTACTCGCCTCGCATGTTATTTGTTTTCTGTGAAGCACAGTTGGATTATAAAGCCACTTGTTCATCTGAACTGAATTGAAGTTGAGCTTATTTTTCCTGACCAATTGTCTCAGCAAAGGGTAACAACTTTAGATATTTGTGAATTCTGTTTCATTGCAGGTAAAAAAAGGTGCATCTCTGGTCTGGTTTGATTTGTTCAGGGGTTTAAATGTATGTCACTTCCATTTTAACAGAATCATCATTTCCAGACCTTGATGGAGAGCCTGAACGACAAGATGGGGGAAAGCTCACATACGAAAGAGATTTCTTGTTGAAGTTTCAGACCAATCCAATGTGTATGTTGAAACCAGAGGGTCTGCCTGATTTAGAAGTTGTTCTTGGCCAACCACGAACCCCCTCCAAATCAGGTTACCCGAACAGGTAAAACAAGCCAGATGATGCTGTTGTCTCTCTGGAAACATTCTTCATAGGTTGATGACTGTGTTGGTTCTCTGAGAAGATCTGGTATATTGCTGCTTTGAATTAGCTAGCCTTTACTGATTGGCTTTCCATTCTTGCTCAGTAATCTTCCTATTTTCATATGCACTTTAGCCTAAGGTGACTGTGATCTTCATTGGTTCCCCCTTACAGATACTAACTAATGAGATAAAACCATGGACCTGACTCTACTCTGCTGTCATGGATTGCAGTACTTCTGCATGTATTAGGGAATTTTCTTTGGTAAAGGCACTGGTGTTGAGGGAATGATTTTGTCCATTCTAAAAGAAGGAGCTATTGTAACAGTTTTCTCAAATGACCGATACATAAGTAAATTTGTCAAGAATAACAATGTGGCAAGTGGCATTTCTCATTTCAAGTTGTGTTTTTATGCTTTGTGTTCCAGGATGCAACCTAAAGATGGTGGTAAAAATATGTTTCTACCTGCCTACCTCAGGCAAAATTCAAGAGTAAGTCCCTCAGTGTAGTTTTGCTTTTACTGTTCTTTTTGAAGTACATGGGACAAGAGACATTGATTATACCCCAGCTATCATGAAAACAAAATACTTAATGAAGTGAATTGTTGGTGCATCTGTTATCTTTAAGAAGACTAGCTCAGTACATTTAACTTGAAGAGACCAAGGGTTTCAATAGCAGCCAGGAAGTGGGTAGTTCTCTCTACTTGTAATGCACTTGCTACCAGCTTGTAGCCTTAACATGAAACATCACTGTAGTCCTAACTTAATCTTTTAAAGTAGTTTTCATCAAGGAGCAACTCAAGAACATAAATGAGCATGGACTTAATTTAAAATGCAGGAAAATCATACTGCTGTAGTCTAAACCTCAAAATTTCTCAAGGTACTTAGATTTCAATAGGAGAAGGAGGTTCTCCAGGCCTTTTAAACTACTTTCCTCCTATTCTTAAGTACTAATACCCATTTGTACTGCATTTTTTGAAAACTGCAGTGAGAAATATCTCTTGTGCACCCATCTTTAATCAAATTGGTTGAAAATTCTGATCAGTTACCTCCCTAAAAATTGCAGGGCAACCCCTCAAATTCAAGAACAGGACGCAGAAATGTTCAACCCAAGAAAGTGATTGACCTTGCTCCTAAAATGACGAGCACAGATGTAAGTGTAGTTCTCTGATTTGTGAAGATGTTGTTTAGCATGTCCTTACTCTATAACAAATTAAATAACCCAGAAACTAATTTTATTTTGCACATATTTTGTTTTACTAAGGGTAAGTAACCTTTAGGGTACTAAGTAATCTTTGAATTGCACCTTTTAAAATTCTAACTCCAAATTCAAGGGCAGATTCTTTAATTTTATATTGTCGTTGATGTTGCTAATGACTTGATTTGATTGCAGCAACTGAAGAAAACAGAGAAGAGATGGATAAGGCCAAGTGAAGTTGCAAAAGAGGGCCTCAGTGAAGAACAGATTAAGACTGAGGTATGCTTTTAAGTATTTGAATATAAATTTAGGTTTTCTGGAGAAGTGATTGCACAGCGAGGATTGTTATTCTCTGCAACATACCAATCCTTTGTCAGGAAATTTATAATGATTTCTGATGTAAATGTAAACAGGTGGTAGGCTGGTGGTGAAGCTATTTATCATGGTAATTTGATATGTTAAGCACACTATGATAGTGAGAGAAACAAACACAATTTAACTGCTGTGCATAATTGTGATTACAGATAACATTTTACAAACATCTTTTAAATTTTGTGATAATGGTGGTGTTTTCCTATCATGCCGAGATGTTTTAAATAGAGTGCAAAACCAAAACGAGAGCCATATAGTAATCACAACAGCTAATGAGAATAACAGTGAAATAAAAAAAAAGAACCTTTTTGAACTCAAAAGTTAAAATGAGCACACTGTGTGAAGCATGGGAAAACATGAGTCAGCAGAACACTGTTGATTTCACTCTTGCACCCCCATGTTTTAGAAGGAAAAGAAAGATTCCTAGACCAGTCACATGCAGATTACTTTTATCACTCAAGTGGAAATTGCTCTAACATGAAATGTACAATTGGAGTGCTTAGAAATCAGGCAACTTTTTCATTATTATTTTGGTTGATTTTCTTGAATCATATGTGCTTCCCTTGGAGATACTGTAAGTTATGACTGCTTTTTTTTTTTTTTTTTTTACCCTTGTCATTGTCAATGTTATGTAAAACTGATCTGGTGAGTTTAATTTTGTCAATGGGTGACAAGAAATGAGATCACATTCTTAGTATCTGGTTAATTTCACGGAGCCTTAATTTCCTTCTCTAGGAGATACTCCGTAAGGTGAGGAGTATTCTAAACAAGTTAACGCCCCAGAAGTTCCAGACATTGACAAAGCAGATCATGGACTTGGAAATTGACACACCAGAGAGATTGGAAAGTGCTATTGACCTCATATTTGAAAAGGTGGGCTATGTAAATATTTTTGGTTCCTGTCAGGGTCAATGGAAAGCTCCCAAGGCTAGTTTTAAGTTTTTTCATTTGACTTTCTGTAAAATACTCTGAAAGAATTTAAGTAGAGAAAGTCAGACCTTATGTATTCACCTCACCTCCCCTTCTGATAGTGCAAACCTTGTGACTTAAGACCTTATTTATTATATAGATACTGATGAAATACCAGGATTTCTCCTTTTACTAAAAAATCATATCTTCACCGCGTGCAGTGAAGATACTATTTTTATCTTTCACATGTGAGGATATTGGTCTGGCCATGGTTACCAACATAATTACCCAATTGCTGTTTCGAAAATGAATAAAAAAAGTTGTCTTTTATTTGGAAATTTCATCAGTATCTATATAATAAACAGAACATTACATGGCCGTTTAGGGATATGAATTTTATCTTCACGTGCTGAAAGTATCTCTCACTTGTTTGCTGTGCTCACTTGTTAGAGATACTTTCAGCACTCGAAAATAAAACTCGTATCCCTGCGCAGCCATGTAATATCCTCTATTTATTGAACCCTTTCACTCCTAAGATCTCATTAGTAATTCTCCTTACTGTCAGCCATGAAATTCTTGTGATGTTTCATGAAGTTCTGAGAGTTGGATATTGAATCAACTAATAATCTCTTATTTGAGTTATTTTTCTTAACTCTCATCACTTGTCTGCTTGATATTAAATTGATATTAAAAGGGGAAATTATATCTTGGCCACTCGTGGAAATTAAAGGGAAAGTCCCCCTCCACCAAACTCTTAATTACAGACTCATCTGGTCATGATATTTCCAGTTGCAGTAAAAGTTAGATATTCCAACAACATTGTTTAAGCTGTATAGTGGTGATTGGGATTTACAGTAACGACACCTTTATTTGTTGTAGGCTATAGATGAACCTGCATTCAGTGTGGCGTATGCAAACATGTGCAGATGCCTCATTCCTGTGAGTAGATGTAGTTAAGAAATGATATTTATTTCATGGAATAATCTCTATTTAAGCTGTATAAAGCCGTAGAGCATTTGTGGCAGTCATGTGTCTGTTTGATTGAGTGATAAATTTTAATTTCCATTTAAAACAGAAAAAAGTGGCTGTAGAGAAGGATGGGTCAAAGAAAGATGTGACATTCCGCACAATTTTGCTCAACAAATGCCAGAGAGAGTTTGAAAAGGAGAAGTCTGTTGAGAAAAGAATTCATGAGAAACTTGAGGAACTCACCAGCAAGGGACTGAGTGTAAGTTCACAAATTTAAAGTGTAACTCCCAACAAAGTCAGGTTTCAACACTGGCTTTAAAATTTTTTCAAATAATGGTCGATCGTGGTTGCTAAAGGAACAAAATAATTACAAGCTATTACAAAATACAATTACAAGGAATAGAAAAATGTAAACAACAGAGCAAAAGCAATCAGACACTTACAAACATTGTATGATTTGTGGACAGGGAGGATGGAAAAAACTAAGAGCTGATCTCAGTGAAGGAATCGATGTTAACCTAATGGAATCTGTTAATCCAGTCCTGAATTTTACTGAGAAGCTTCTACAAAATGAAAGTAAACAAAGCAAAATTATACAGAAAAATCTAACATAATGTAAATCACTGTGAGTGAAAGAATGTGAAAAACAATAAGAAAAATGTGTGTGCAAAACACAAGAATGTAAATGGGAATGCCAAAAAAAAAAAAGAAGGAAATCACGAGTGAGAATGCCTCAGTAACATAAAGTGTCTACAGCGGTCCTCTCTAGTCATGCACACATTTTAGTCATGCTAATGGTGTCTGCAAGCCCAGTCTGTACAAGTAAAGTTAACAACTAGTGCATTCATTTACAATGAAATAAACTTACTGTGGAATTGTGCATGTAAAGTGAACCATACTAAAAAATCACCCAACATTTTGAAAAAGATCCACTTAAATTATGCTTTAGTGATTTAGAATTGAATTTTCACGGGTGACTCGACTGGCTGTTACTGCTTTTTATTAATTTTATAAGTTGTTGTTGTTTTTTTTTTTTGCACAGCTTTATTTTTTAATGGAATTCGTACCAAAACTAAATATACCTAAACACTGAGGAAACAGTTACAGCACACATAGAATAATATAGCAGCATGCATACTGCATTTTTGGTCTCTGATTGAAGGCTGTTATGATAGCCCTAAATTCCGAGCAGGGGTGAGGGAGAGTGTTTGACAACTGTTCTTTGTTTATGCACCTCCCTACAGGAAGAGGAACTTGAAATGAAGAAAAAAGATCTTCAAGATGAAGAAACCCTTGTCAAACGTCGCACATTGGGAAACATCCGCTTCATTGGTGAACTTTTCAAACTTAAGGTCAGTTCTGATTGTTTCTCTGGTTATCCACCCTATCAAATTTCTTCTGCCCTTTTTTTTTTAACCCTTCACACCCTAGCATCAGAATGTATATTCTCCTTGCTGTTCTTCATACATTTCCTAAGCTGCTCACAAAGAGAATTTATGTGACAGTCAAGAGCTTCTTGTTGTGATCATTTCCTTTTGTTCTTACGACCTCAATGCTTGATTTAGGGATAATGCTGTAAATAGAAATTAGCTGCTAGTTACTCTTAGGGATAAAAGTGTTGAGTTTAAGACCAAAGCTGGGAAGGTTAATGCAGTAAATGGGAATGTGTTGACTTTCTTCGAAAGCATTTGCCTCTTTTACCTTGAAACATTTGGCCCATATTAAATACAGTGAGAAAGAAAGGTTTTGCTGTATTTTGTTTGCCGAGATTAACATGAAAGTGAAGTTGTCTGTCTTCCTGCTTGTTAATGCAGATGCTGACTGAGAGTATCATGCATGACTGTGTAGTGAAGCTGTTGAAGAGTAATGATGAGGAGGCCTTTGAGTGTCTGTGCAAGTTGCTGGTTACCATAGGAAAAGATCTGGATCATATTAAAGCCAAGGTACCAGAAATGTAACTTAATTACAGTCATGTCTTTATGTTTCCCAGAAATTGTTCTGTCAAATAAAATTAACAAAAAGCAGTATACTTCAATGTCTTGGTAAGCAGCCCTAGAATTTGTGTGCTCAACCTCTACATGCTGGAAAGTCTATTATATTACTTGGAACTCTCTTCCCAATAACATAAGACTGCTACACGAATTAAGTCAATTTAAATCCCAAATTACTAAATTGAAATTCGACCTGTAGAATAAATTTTACTTAGTTTTTATCTTGTTTAGAAATTATATTTTAATATCCTTTGCTTTAGAATTATATTTTGTATTTTCTATGTAGATAGTATTTAGATAGTTAGTAATTAGATTAATTTTAAATAACTTGGAGATATTAGCATGCATTTGCTATCTTAACACATTGACACCTGAACCGCCCATAACTGCCCGAACCTTGCGATCGCCTCACGCGAGAACACTTTCCCCCCTACCTCCCCTACTAAGTGGAGTTTTGTCCCCAAACTTCCTCTATAATTTGGAGATCAATAAGCCAATCACAATCTGTTGTTTGCACATATATTTTGTCGACTTTAGGGGGTACTAGAGGGGCATTATTCTATGCGTCTTCACTAAATGATCAAATTTCAAAATATGGCGTCCACGCGGCCGACCCTCAAAATTTTCAGGTCAGATTTTTGGTTCATATGCGATCGAGTTAGACCTTGTGGAATTCAGAATGTAAAGTAACAATGCTATAGAATACTCTGCTTGGAAAAGAATGGATATCCAGGTCTTAAAAGTGACAGAATAAGCTCTCAAGTCAACGACACTACGATTCTCTAAGGCGATGCGAATTATGGACGTAAAGCGAAAACCGAACTTTCGGACTTCAAACAGGGCCTGGCGACAATTTCACGATTCGATGGCCCGGTAAATATTATGTTTGAGTAGCAATGTATTCAAAAAGTATAGTTTAATAGAAGATTTTGCCTCAAATCGAAGTTTTTTTCAGAATTTTCAACATAATGCTGCGCAATTTCTGGCCATGAAGGCAAGTAAACAACGATTTAAGCATGATGAATTTTACCGCGTGGGCTTTGTACACGTAAGAAATTCGTACGTTTTTCGCTTATAACAGCAAATCAAAAGCTGTTTTGAATAAATCTGACGTCTCGAAATATTTCTTGGCCATTTTAG